ACGTGAATATGGCATGCATGATGGCAGAGACCTAAAGGAGATCCTTACTGATGTAGATAATGACAACGTAAGCAAATTATATATATATGTATGTATGTATGTGTATGTGTATGTGTATGTATGTACATAAACATATACACGTTTCGTTTTCGAAGCAACTTCATTGTCAATTGTTTGGGGGGAAAATCATTTTACAAGGTGGAAGGATAGACTACGATGAGTTTGTTGCAATGATGAGGAAAGGAAACCCGAAGCGAACGCGAAGAAGCGGCGTGACGAGGTATTCATCTGATCTTTTGAGGTGATCGAAGGAACTGGATCAAAACTGAGAAGGAAGGCATTGTGAATATTTCCTTGATTAGCAGAGCACGCGGTGAAGAGATAATGATAAGGAAACTGGAAAAATGAGCAAGTTCCGAAAACGGCACTTCCAATGTACTTCGTGTCTATTTACCAAGTTCCGAAAACGGCCATGAGCAAACTGGAAAAATGAGGAGAAATTTCCTTTGGGGCAGCTGAACAGGTTCAAAACAATTAAACAGAGTTTATTGGGTCACAGTGTGTTTACCAAAGAAAAAAAGGCGGTGCAGGGGTGATAATTGTCGACTGTCGATAGATCTAGAATCCAAGTCAATGAAGTTGGAGTCTTCATGGTAAGATTCCAACCTCAAGAAGCCTTCTGGAGAAAGAGGTTCAATGGTCCAAAACCGAGGTCAAGAATAGGGTGGAGGGTGATATTCATTCAGATGCTCCCATTGATGGATTCGTTGACGAGGATAAACCTTTAACTCTTAGAGATGCATGGTAAGTTAGTGCATAAATTTTATGAAGATAAAAGTGTTGGTTGTTATGATGCAGAAGGCATTTTAGGTTCGAAAATTATGAGATTAAGTGGATTAGAACTTTTAATTATCTTTGAAAATGAATAAAGTAGGGATAATATTCTAAAAAATCATGTTGGGGCGTTGAAAAATTGTGTTGAAAAAGTTTAGCGGATTAAAAATATATGAACCGGGTACCTGTGATCCGGAAATATAGGCATTCATATTTTACATATACCCGACTACTAGGTACCCGCACCACCGCTGCAAGGGTACCTAGTAGGATAATAATAATAATAAAACCAAGGGCAGCGAATTATATACAGAAACTATAGGATAATAATATGATAGTTTTGCAAGGGTAGCTTCCTTTGGACCTGAATGTATGTTTTGATGTTTCTGTTTCTGTACTGTCTTCTTTATGGCAATCGGTTTGTGGATATTGATTTTTTTTATGCTGTTTGACGTGAATTTTTGTGGTGACGGAGTCAGATTTTGGATGATCATTTGATTTTTGAGTGCCCAAATTTATATTATTGGTTCGATCAGATTGTTGTTTAGAGCCGATGCTGAAATTTGTTGAAGTTTTAAACTTTTTCAGAAAATGAACCTGATTTATAAACCATTTGTTAAAACATATTGCTATTTGTTTTATGGATGATATATATATATATCCACCTACATAATGTAAAACTCTTTAGTTTTATATAGATTTAGGACCTTTGGATGAGTAAAATCAAAGGTTGAGATTAACTCCTTGTTTTTTTTCCCGAGTGATAATCTTCACATTTCCTACTTTTAATCTCACATATCTATTTTCACTCATCCAACGGTCCTAAATATGTGTAAAACTAAAAGAATAGATCCTACCCCTTATATATATATATATATGGGTTAGGATCCACTTACACAATGTAAAACTCTTTAGTTACTCCTTATTTTTTTTCAAGTGAATATCTTCATATATTCTACTGTTAATTTGGACCATCTATTTTCACTCATCCAATGATCTTAAATATGTGTAAAACTAAAATAGTTTTACATTATATAACTAGATCTTACCTCTCTATATATATATCAGTTTGGAACTGGGTCGGATTCAGTTATGAGCAATTGGGTTTTTCTCTCCATAGTACAGGATCAATGTGAACTTTTAGTTTTTAATTATGTTGAAGTGCATTCACACTTTGATGATGGTTTACACGTAGTTTTTTTTTTATTATTATTATAAGCATGCAATTTAACTATGGTTGCGCATGACTTGAGGGCTAATGTATTGTTGTTGAAGTAGAATTTTTTTTAGGTTGCAATAGCGTTGAAATGGATTACGAAGTTTACTACTATATGTTATGAATTCCCATTTGTCGGGTGGTTGTTCTTATTTGTGAATGCTTAACAGTAAGATTATGCATTTAAATAAGTGTTTATTATTTTTGGGGTGTCATATATCATGGTAGGTGGTTTGGAGATTTTAGCTAAATGATGAATTGATGATTTTGATTAAGTTGGAACATTGTAAAAGTACAGGGACCTAATCGCATAAATTGAGAAATACAAAGATTAATGTACAATTGTTTAATAGTTGATGTGTTATGTTGAAACCGAATGTTGGAATGATGAATTTGACATTAGACTGTTGATTGGGATTAAATTGGAAATGTATGAAACTAAAAAGGACTAATATACATACTTTGTGAAATAGGAGGATTATAGTGTAATTGTTTAATAGTTAAAATACTATGCTGAAATTTAGATGTTAGAATGTTGAATTGTGAAATTGGATTAATTTAAAAAGTTGGTAAAGTTTGGGGACTAGATCGTAAACATGGACAAGATAGGGACTTAAGTGAAGATTTTGTAATTGTTGAAGTAATATGTTTTTAATTAAATGCTGGAAATTTTGATTATGTTAACTAAAGCTTGAGCTAAAATTAATTAGTATAATTTGTTAAGATTGAGGACTAAGTTGTAAATTAGTATAAGTTGTGATCTGAAATAGAACTTGGTATAAAGCTGATGAGTGAAATTTGAATAAGCTGTTGAAGTTGTTGGATGATTTGAAATTGAGTTAATATTATTGAATACTCGAGTTTATATTTTAGAATTATTATTTAAAAATTTTATTAACATGCTAGATTTAAAATTTTTAAAAAAATAAATATCTAACCAATAATTTAATTAATTTATATTTAAATTATAATACTCCAACTTAACATAATTTCTTAAAGATGTTTGTTTTATGGTAATAGAAGGGTAGATTTGATGGTTATAGGATATATAAAAAAGGAGGGTAAACTATGTAAATGGTCATTAATATTTAATTTAGTTTTTGTCTTTCTTACTAAACTTTAAAAAGAAACAATTTGGCCATTAGTATTATTGATTATAATAAATAGATGATTTGACATATTTGACTTTTCAAAACTTTTGATCAACTCTTAAGGGAAAAAATGTGATGTGTACATTAATATTTAATTAAGTTTTTGTATTTTTTATTGAACTTTAAAAAATAATAAATTAATCATTAGTGTTATCGATTTATAACAAATCGATTATTAGCCGTTAACGATTGTTACTGATGCTGCAGCATTAGATCGATGATTTGATATATTTGACTTTCCAAAACTTTTGATCGACTTTTAAGAGAAAAAATGAGGTGGGTGGTTCTTCTTCATTCTTCTTCTCATCTCTACTTAAAAACCAGGGAACTACAACACCTAAAATTTCCAGAGTCATTCAAAAGATTCTCATGCTTGAAATGGTATTGCAGAAATAAAATCCATGAAGTCTTCATCTTCATTTGACAGTCAGGCACTTGATACACCCATTTCAATAAGTCTTCGACCCCCTCCAATCGACGACAAATCATTCAATGAAGAAGAGTTTAATAAAAAAAAAAGCCTATTGTTGTCCATAAATCTGTACCGCCTCCTACAAATGTTAGTTCATATTCAATAACAGACCTCCAGATGGCTACAAGCAGTTTCAGCGTTAGACATCTACTTGGTGAAGGGCCTTTTGGATGTGTTTATCGAGCTTAGTTTGGCAATGGAAACGTAGAATCTTCCTGCATGAAAAATCCATAGTCATTGCAAAATAAATGGAGAACTATCTGTGCTTGAATTTGTATAGCCTTTATAGTTTTCTACCTGCTCTAACTTGATAAATATTCATATTTAATGTTTTAACTACCAATATCATTAATCATCATAAATTTGTCTCCATAGTTATTCATTTTATTGCCTTAATCTTGTAGACTTAATGCACATATACATATTTAAATATCATTGCTTAGGATATGTTTTAGATTCTTGGTGTTGGTCGATTCTCCTGCTTCATTTTGATTTTCTTATTAACTTGAGCACAATTTAAGAGACCACTTCCTAACTATTTGTTTTGTTTCTTCACATAAATTTTCTTGTGATCCAAGCTTACGGTATGTATTGTCATATGCTGATCCAAACTTGTCTTATGGAACCTCATTTGTTTGAATGGCAGATAAACCCTCCATCCTTGATGGCTTCATCAAATCCCAAATAAAAAAAGATTGATGTTCCCAAGAGTAGAGGCTCCATGGATTTGTGACTATCGATAAGAGGGGCCGAAGACTTACTGAAATAAGTTTATCAGATACTTTGCTGTCAAATGAAGATGAAGACTTCATGGGTTTTATACTATCACATCGGTATTATGTTATTATTAAATCATGAGCTTAATACTATCACATCAGTATTATGTTATTATTAAATGACCATTAACGATAAATGATTGATTAATTGATAAAGGATTGATTTATTATAAATTAATAACGTTAATAATCAATTATTTTTAAAACTTCATGATCAATTTGTTACTTCTAAAACTTCAATTTCAAATTGAAAACTTCTAAAACTTCAAATTTCAAATTGAAACTTCAAGATCAATTTGTTAATACTAAAACTTCAACTATTGTCTACCCTAAAAAAATTGTGTTAAAGATTGCTATTTTCATGATAGATTCTTGCAATATTCAATTATTTTTGAATGAATATCGATAACTAAAAATTCATTGAAAAAAAATGTGTTGGTCGACACTGCTGTGCGATCAAATCAGTCGAACTTTTCCTCCGGGGATGAAATTTGCCATTATAGCAAATTTGGTGAGTCTCCTCTGTTAAGAATTACTTTGGTATAATGTTTTATATTAATCCTTGTTCATGCCCTTCCAGAAAAAGAAAATACCGTACAAAGCCAGCATATTATACAGGTTTACGAATATCACCCTTTTAAGCACATTGGTTCAATGTTCTATAAAAAAGACGTTGAATCAAAGGTATCACTTCCTCCGCGGCTTCATCAAATGCTCTTGATGTTTGGCTGCAGCTGCCTTATCGGCTGCTTCACGCTTCAGTGCTCGCTTTGCCCTTCGCCCCATTGTACTTTTCGAAACTTCTTTCTTCTTGGGCTCACTTGAACTTGAGGAGGCAGCAGTATTCTGGGAACTGGATGATCGTTGGACAGGTCTGGCTTCTTGGCGCCCTGACCTTACATATCCGTTATCACCCCATCTCCGATTCCCAAAGCGGACAATCGGTGCACTGTTGTAATAAACTTCATCTTCCTCGTTGTCATCATCTTCATAAGGGCAATGGTAATAGTAATCTTCCAGTTCATCATATACCTCTTCGCGTTCCTCCACAGTCGAAGGTTTAAACCATGTGGCTCTAAGAAGCAGGCACACGCTTTCCTCGAACATGTAGTCATTGATCCTTATAAAGCAAAAGGCAACAACCAAAAATGGATAATAACTCACTACTAGAATTCCCTCTCTGGGAAATGCCAACATAACAAGACGATTCAACAATCAAGAATGGAGGATTTGAAATTACCTGCCGTCAAGCGAATGATGAACATTGAGGAACTCGAATGGATGTTTACACTGAGGGCATGTAGGCATTTTACTATATGTTGCCCATCGAAGGATGCATGTTACACTGCAAGAACAAAAAGCAAATTACACAAAAAACCTGAAATACCATACCCAATCCACTGGAAGTATAAAGCATGTACCAAATGTCAACTGTAATCGAATCAATAACTGAATAGTAAGTGAATCAAATATTGATAATTTCCAATAAGTTCGATGTCTATAAAATTAATAATTCATCAAAACTAAATGATCATCTAAACCAGAATCAACACAATGTACAAAGTGCTTTATCCCCTGAACAGAGGACAAGCTCCTATAAATTGGAACCCATCTATGGATTGGAGTGTGATATCATCGGGTGGGAGTGACAGATCCGAGGGCAAAATAATGATTACTCGAGATTTAAAACAATCTTAGTTCATTAGGAGATGGAATCCACAGCGTTGAATGGCAGTACAGTTGGACAGATTAATCTAATGGATTTAATTGCCCATGCTTCTCAACATATAATAAATGTCCCAGTAACTTGTTCTTCAAGTCTTATCTGAAAATAGAACTTATATCACCAAAGATAATGACATGCGTGCCAAGAGAAAGGATGAAGTGTCATAAACATGCAACATATTTCTTCTCCCAACATTTTTGAAATATTTGTCACACATCACATACACAAATGTCTCACAAAGAGACGTGATAGCTTAAACATATTCGCCCCAAGAACCATATGCCAATAAATTAGCATGACAGTCTCCATAAGCACATAAAATGAGACCCACACCCTTCCCCATTTGGTGAGATTAACACGAGCATTCCAGACCATTCCACCACTAAATCTTCACTCAAGTCTTTCTCTTTCTCACAGAATAACAACACCATAGACCTCAACTCATTCTGTGACCCTAAACTCCCTTGAATCAGTGCCAAACAGTCACAGAAACCATAGGAACGATTCAGGGGCAAATTTATCCAAATAATACGCGTTATGTAATTAATTAAAGGGATGACACTAAAAAATCATCAAACCAAAATTCAAGACTAATATATGATTAAAATGATATCCCAAAAGTTGAATTCAAAATAATTGGGTAACTCTGTACCCTAAAAGTAACCATTACTAAACAAAAACTTAAAATAGGCAATTAGAATGAGAAAAACAAAAACAAATCACTTAAGTTTCCAACAAAATAAAAAAGGCTTAAAATTTTAAAAGTAAGTAGCGAAAGTGGAAACAGAACAGACCAAAAAACCGAAAGCATAATTGAACATATTGGTTAGGAAAGGTTAGACAAACCAGTAAGCATGCTCGCAGCCTTTTACGAGTGCAGTTTCCTGTAGAACTATTTTATCTAAACATATCGCACATATTCCACCATGACTTTGGCAACTTTCTTCGCTAACATCCCCTTTATTCTTCATCTCCTCCTAGCAAAAAACATCAAATACCCCAAACTAAATATTTTTTTATTATTAATAATTGACAAAAATAAAATATTAGAAAAGAACTGATACATAAGCCCTAATCAACGAAATTACTACACAGTGCATAACCATTAATCAACGAAATATCCATATGTTTAGTTTCAGCACAAAAAGTAAACAGATCTGGCTCTAAAAACTAAGAAAAAAATCAAAATTAGAAATAAGAAGGTACCTGGTTCTGATCTTGAAGGGAGAGATCCGGGAGAGCGATGGCAAGTTGTTCACCGACGATCTTGGTTGCTGAAGACATGGTTTTGATTTTTATATATTTTTATTCTGAATTAAATCTAAAATTATGATTCTGATTTACCATAGCTTAATCTAGCCCAATCCAGCAAACAATTTCTTCTAATTCTATAGTTAAACAAATAAAAATAAAAGAGTCCAAGAAGCAAAAGAATTAGTCTTTCGTTCCCAGAGAACGAGAGAGAAATTAGTACCCTGACAAAGAGGGATAGAAATGGAAATTGAGATGACAAATATATGTGGTATTTTTTCAGGAGAAGGACACGAAGGTAGCTGCACATGTCTCGGAGTGCTTAACGAGTTGAATAACTCGTAAGCAGTTTAAATTTTATTTAATTAAAATTTGATAAATATTTAATTCGAGTTAATTTAATTTGAATTTAATTTAAAATTTTAACGAGTTGAGTCGAATAAAGTCTAACTTGACTCGATAAATTTATGAGCATCTCATTAATTTTTTAAAATATATTTTTAATAATTACTTCAAAAATATTTCATTCAAAAAATAAATCTAAATAATAATTATTAATTTTGATCAACTTTTTTTAGATTTGCGAAAATGTCCAACAAAATCGCAATGCGATCTCTAATTCGTATTGCGATCTCCACTATTGCAAATTCGCGTTGCATTTCGCGTTGCGATAATTGAAAATCGCGTTGCGATAGTTGAAAATCGCGTTGCGATTTTCCAGTTCGTGTTGCGATAGTCTACAGTTGTCGTTGCGATTTGCGATTTTCCAAATTCGTTGTGGTAGTTAAAAAAAAGATTTTGTTTCTTAAGAATTTTCTCTAAAAGGTTAGTATCCGCGCGGACGTGTCGAAGACACGTACGACCACGACCACGACCACGACCACGACCCGACCCGAGACGGACGGCGGCGGCGGCGCGCGAGAGTCCCCCTTATTCTCTATCACTTAACAAGGAAGTGAGAAAGCCAAGCCTTAAATACCATTCTCAATAGTGTTTCCAATACTATGTGGGATTGAGCATTACCAACACTTGTTTCCAATACAATGTGATTATTCAGGAAACAATTAACAATCATGCACCTTAAAACAACTGAATCAGCAACCAATTGCATTAGTATTATACGATTAAATATGTCATAATTAAAAGTCAATCTACAATCAATCGTGATTATTGTAATTTTAAGCAAAACATTCAAAAATAATATCACTATTTAAGGCTCAATCTCACATAGTATTGGGAACAAGTGTTGGTAATGCTCAAATCCCACATAGTATTGGAAACACTATTGGGAATGGTATTTAAGGCTTGGCTTTCCCACTTCCTTGTTGAGTGATAGAGAACAAGGGAGACTCTCGCGCGCCACCGCCGCCGTCCGTGGTCGTGGTCGTGGTAATACGTGTCTTCGACACGTCCGCGCGGATACTATCTTTTTAGAGAAAATTCTTAAGAAACAAAATCTTTTTTTTTTAACTATCGCAACGAATTTGGAAAATCGCAACGACAACTGTAGACTTTCGCAACAACAACTGTAGACTATCGCAACGAATTTGGAAAATCGCAACGACATTGTAGACTATCGCAAAGCGAAATGAAAAATCGTAACGCGATTTTCAACTATCGCAACGCGAAATGCAACGCGAATTTGCGATAGTGGAGATCACAATGCGAATTAGAGATCGCATTGCGATTTTATTGGTCATTTTCACAAATCCAAAAAAAATTGATCAAAATCGTATATTATCTGGGATTTTTGGTCACTGAAGTTATTTTCTCATATATTAATGACTTACCAGTGGGGTATATTTCAGAACAGGTGGTAAACACAGTTGGGAAATTTTATCGGGACTTTTGTTGACTATGATGTGAAAGCATTAACTTTAGGGTATATGGGAAGTATCCGCATTAAAGTAAATATTGGATGTTCGGAAACCATTAAAGCGGAAGAAAAAAAATGCAATGCTAGATGGGACTTTTACTTATGCAAAATTCCAATATGAAAAGTTGAGATTATTCTATTTTCTATGTGGGAAACTTGGCCATGGTGAAACTTACGGCCCCTTACGACTAAAGAAGGAAGTTGTGAAACTGACGTCCCAATGGGATTTATCCATTCGAGCGTCATTCAGAAGGAAAAGTGGTCAAGGTAGTCCGTGGTTACGAGATGATAACACAGGTGATGATTTAAAACAGCATGCAAATGAGATTGTTTCTACGAAGGCTTGGGTACAAAAAACTTTCATGGCTGGGTAGGAAATCTGAGGTGAGGGGGGATTATGATGTGGTTATGATTACAGCGGAGGAAGAAGATCCTATAAGGAGGCAGGAACAAGCAAAAAGGCAACGAAGTGATCCAGTCACTTTGGAGTCGTTGAATGAGAAGGACACTGGAACAATTGAGCGATCGATAGGCCTGAGTGACCAGGCCAGCTGGGAGCAATGAAGCTGCTAAGCTGAAACGTCCGGGGATTAGGGATGCCTCAGACTGTTCGTCGTCTTCATCAATTGATGCAAGACATTAATCCCTCTTTAGTCTTTGTTGGTAATACTCAATCCCACATAGAGTTGGAAATACTAGTGGTAATGATATTTAAGGTTTACATTCTCCATTCCCTTATTGAGTGATAGAGAACAAGACATGATAATACGTGTCTTTGACACGTTCACACGGATACTATCTTTTTAGAGAAAATTCGTAAGAAATTTTTCTCTGAAAGATTAAATGAAAAATGTGAAAGATTCATATGATATTTATAGGCCACTGAGACTGTTAAAGTTCGAATATTTCAGATGATAACAGATGATTATTAGTTGTCTGAAATTAAATAGTTATTTTTCTAAATTAAATCAGAATTTAAGATGTATCTGGACTGATTTTCAGCTTTGTTCATGAGAGAGACAAGCTGTTAATATCATGAGTTACAAGAGTTATATGATTTAATTTCAGGAGTTATAACTATTTAATTTTTATGCAATGAACATAGACTCTTTTTTTAGTCAGATTAATCAAGAGGAGTTATAAAAAGGGTTTAAATTCAGAATTAAAATCAAATTTAATTTGATTTTCTTGTTTGACAAATTTACTCTTACTTCTAGGCTATAAATAGAGAGCTAAATTCAACTTCTCAACTTACACTCTCTATAATTAAAATTCACTGTCCAAGTGTTTTCTAAAGTTGTTCTCTCCGTGCTTTCCGATCAGAAGTGCAATACCACCAGTAGTCCACTCCGGTTTCGGTGTACGGAATTCGGAGCGACCGTGTCAACCTCGGGGGACGGTCCGCCTACTGCAGCGATTACACACATCGGGACGAATTCGTTTCTAAGACAGTGGTTAATACCACGACACGGTTAATCGGTTCTTTATTTATATATTTCAATATATATCTTTCATGTCAATGCTAATGCCTCGTTTTGCAGCAGTCTATTTTACTAACAATTTAGAAACGAATTCAAATATTGTTGCAAACTCATTCGAACAACTAATGAAGAATTTGTTGAACTTAATTGAGAATGCTGATGGTGTTCAGAAATATTCGTGAATTTCAAAATGGTTGAAAGCAAACGAGAAGCCTCATTGGCAGGCTGGAAAAATTCGTAAGTTACAAAGATGCTATTATTAAAGGTAATAATATTATATCCTTTAAAATTAAGTATACGTTTCCTAGTTTTAATTTAATGTTATAATGTTCTTTAAAGCAATTTGATAAATGTTTAACCACATGGAATTGTTTTTAAAACATTAAAACAATGGAAATAATTACTTACGGTTTTTGGTATTTGAATTGCAAATATGATTTAATATGTTTCATGGGGCCATTAATTGGTGCAATGAAATAAATCTTTCTTATTAAATGGTTTTTAAAGAAAGTTTTAAACCATTTTAAATGGTTAGTTAAAGCCAGAATGTTTGGAATTACAATTTGGTGGTAAAGAATAAAAATTAGTATACGTTTATTGTTTCAATCAACGTTAAAATGGTGGTTATAATAATTATGAAATTATTTATTTTATAATTATTTATTTAGCTGTTATGATTTATGAGATTAGTGAAGAACCATGAATAATGAAACGTTTGATTAAAATCAAATGCATAAGGTTTGATTTTAAAATTAAAATAGTTGTAACTTATGGCATTAAATACATTTCATGGTTTCTTCGGTTGTTATGGTCTCAATGAAAATGCTTTGTAATGGTTGATGTGAAGAAACCGAAACCATAATTATTATTTTGGTGAAAGAAGCCATTTTATATTTTAATGCATAATAATGCATGAGATTAATGCATATGAATGGAATGAAAACAGTTGATATGGATTATTTTGAAACTTATATGCTATAATCAAGAAGTGGCATTATTATAATGTTATGAACATTGACATTTCAGTATGAGAGATAATGTATGTATGTTATTTGGTTCATGTGGAAATATGAAATCATTTATTCCCATGTGGGGGGTAATATTATACAGTTCCTGAAAACTAAGGTGAAAATAATTGCAAATATTTGTTGCCATACTAATCATTTCCTTTGAGAAATATGTTAAGACATAGGACATGTGTAATTTTTGGAGAAGTATGGAGCTGGTGGAGCTGAAATGAGAAGATTCTCCAAAATCAAATAATAGTTAAATTCGATTTGATTTCCACAATCTCTTGAAGATAAGATACCAAAATCCTAAAGATAAAGATCTTGTCACTAATAATAAATTATTTTAATTATTGTTAGTAAATTAATTTCGCGACTAACCATGTATATTCTTCATTTGACTTCAGAAGATACAAAAGAGATGTTGGTTCAGATGAAGTGATTGTCACGAAGGATTTTGGGATCATGCTGATTAAAAGTGATGATGCAAAGAATGATGTTGTATGTATGGTGAACAAGTCTATTTGGAATTGAGATTCTACCTACGAGGTCAGATTATTTAGACTTGTTGCCTGTTAATTCATGTCTTTTAAATAATGAATTAGATTGCATGATCCTTTAAGATAGTCTTTAAAACTCAGTAGATACTATACAATGAGATAAAACCACTAGCAAAGACTAAGGTAGTACTACTAAGGCTAAAGTGGTAGTGTGAGCCCAAAAATATATATGCTTAATAAGATACTATTGTGAGTAAAAGTATCAAGCATAATTCTTTAAAGAGATCTTATTTAAGAGGAAATTCACAAATAATTTATTGGAAAGTAGTGTGATGAGTATGAAAGTGC